CCTTGGATCCACGGTGAAGTGTGCTCCGTCCCCCTCGAAGGATATGGTGGCTTGTAGTTTCTGTAAGAGATCACGTCCAAGTAAGGGGTACGGGCATTCTGGCATGACCAGAAACGAATGTGTTACCGTGTTCTTTCCAAGGTCCACAGTCCTCGTTGATGTCTAAGGAAAAAGGCAGTTTGTCCGGTGGCTCCCTGGACCGATGTCTTCTTAGATGTTACGGGTCCTGTTGGCTCTGTGAAGACTGAATAGGCTGCTCCAGAAAACTAAAAAATTATTCTGGGCTCTAAGGGGTTCAAGGAAAAGGAGTCCTGGCCCTATTAGTCCCCTTCCCTGAGTGTAAATCCCTCAGACCCTGGGTTTTCCCTCCAGCTATCCGCTTTCCTTTGTGAACCTACCAGGATATTCTCTCTTCCAGTGCCCCTACTTCCTACTATAGGCATACTAATGCCTTCCTAGTTTGCTGCCAGCCTTTTCTTTCCTTTTTCCATTCCCCTTCTCCTTTTGTCCTGGTGCTCGTTTCTCTTAATGCAGCTACCACTGCCTTAGTGATTCTCTTGTCCTGCTTCTCCTCCGTGGTGTCTCTATTGTTAAAGACTTTCTGGGCTACCTCTACCAGCTAAGACCGATTCATTCCTTCAAATCCTTCTAATTTTTGGAGTTTTTTTTAGCTACTGCCTTTTAAGCACCCCCAAACGCCCAAACCCCCAACAGCACATGGTGAAAAGTGTCCAAGGAGGCCTTGGGTCTCATTGGAGTGCAGGGGGGCACAAGGAGGCGCAGGGAAATATGTTAACACTATACTGCAGGCTAATAATGCAATGATTGTGTCTCAAAAGAAAACCTGAGATAACTTTATTAAAAATACTTTATTGCTAAGCACTAGTAACAAGCAACTGAGCTAGCTAGAAAATGGTTGCACTAGACTGCTGAATGCACTGTTTCCAAAATTATGGACTTTGTAGAAAAGCGGGCCTGGGAGAGCAATATCTGAGAAGCACAATTAAGTACTTCTAAATATATGTGTTCTGCATGTAATAAGCAATCTATATATATAAAAATGTAAGCGACCGACCAACCATTTGACCAGTAGGTATGTCGCAAAATGACCACTAGGAGGCAGATGCTCAAAGCACAGGCATGAAAAAATGGAAGAGACTCATGAATGTCAGAGAGAAATGGGGAGAGGGGAGAGCAAGAAGAGATTAACCAAAAATCTTATATGAATAAAAGAGGCCCAGTGCACAGGTTCGTGGACTGGTAGGGTCCCACGGCCTGGCCTGTGGGGATGGGGCCAAAATCCGCAGTCCAACATCCCCAAGAGGTCCCGGATTGCGAGAGGGTGCAGGACAGGCCGAGCGACCCCACCAGTGCACAAATCCGTGCATCAGGCCTCTAGTTAATATATAAAATATACAAGGTAATCAAAAGAATCTTTAACCAAAAAATAAAGTTAATAAACAGGATAAGGATGTATACACAATTCTTGAAAAAATATATATTCATGACCAATAGGAATATTGAAAATGCTTTCATCAAGCACCACTCTCCAGCCTTCTCCAAGGGAGTTCGGACACTGAAAACCTCACTGCCTCAGACAAAAATCTGGGAAGAGGTAATCCCGCCACAAGGATTACTGGTCCCGCCCTACAGAAGCGGGACCTTCTCCTTCTCTGACCCTTCATTGCCTCAGCCTGATGGCACCATGCGTGGCCTTCTGGGTAATGTAGTTTCTACGCTCATAGGCCAGTATCCTGTATTTCTCAGTTGACTCAAGAACTGGATTTAGGGGCAAATAGTCCAGGAACACGCCAAGTATAGTAAGGGTCCTGTAGCGTCTTCAGTGCAGGTGATGTCTGGGGCAACTTTGTTTCTCATCCAACCCAAAGATCCATGGTACAGACATACTTGAATGGGAAGGAGGACTTCAGTTCAAAACATGACCTGGGCTGTAGGAAAACATGGTTAGAGCCATTGTCTCATGTAGCCAGTAGGGACTTAGAGGGCAGAATCACATGGGCTGTTGGTCCTATCCATAAATATGTGGTGAGCACCCATGCAATGAGAATCATGTAGAACTACAGCATCACTTCCCAATGTTAGGTCCCAGAATTCATGTCCAATTGTATCCACTCCTGCAGGGTGAATGTCACTGCCACATAGGAACATCACTTGAAGTTCAAACTGAGGCATGAAATTCATCACAGTGGATGTGATCCCCGCAGGATACTCAAAATGTAGAGGAAAGTGCAGAGATCCAGCCCTAATTACCAAGGTCTCCTGAAGGTCAAACTCTGTGTGGGATCAAATGGTGGGCAAACAGCAGCTCACTCTGAAAGCAGGTTCCCCTGGAGGAACCACTGCAGCTAAGAAATGATGGCATTACCCTGAACACAGGGAGGCCAAGGGAATTGCTCTGAGATGTAAAGGGAATGGGAGGAAACAAATAACTGCAACCATGGAAACAGGAGCTACAGCTGAGCCACCCTGGTTCTCAGACTGTACCTGATCCAGTGAGGGCTGCACATCAGCGGTACAGATTGTGTCTGATGCTGGAGAAAATGATGGGTTAAAATCCAGCTCTTGAATCTGACACTTGTCTGTGCTGTAAACATGGGGAGCTGACTTCATTTCTCAGATACTGAATTTTTCAGCAATTTCATAGGAGTTTCCACTTACCCAGTTGTTGTGAGAATTAAAAAAGAGAAAATGCTCAAAAATCTAACCCTAAAATCCTGGCAACAAGTACTCAGCTTGGTACTTTTATTGATCTTGGAAGGCCAAAGTAAGCGCCATCAATCATCTGCATGTCACATTCAGCCAACTCAGATTCACGGAGTTCTAGTGAGTCTGCTGGACATTTCCAGGTGGGCCCACCACAATGAGACCTGAGTGCCCACAGCACCTGCCTCCCTGCAGCAGAGTCAGTGGCTTCTTACAGGTCCCATTTCTTAGTAAAATGCACCCAAAGACAAATGTCCTTGTGAGCATCGGAGTGAGAAGTGCCTGGCCGGGGAAGGTCTCTGGAGAGAGATGATGGAGATTGAAAGACAGAGAGAAAAAAAATCAATGCTAACAGAGAATCATTGATCAGCTGCCTCCTGCATACCCCACACTGCGGTTCAAGACGGGGCTTAGGTATCCTCCTTGACTGTGAATGGAACCATGATGTCCTGGTTCATATGTTTAAAATAGAGGCCTGGTACATGAAATTCATACACTCAGGGGGGATCCCTCAGTCAGTCCTGTGCCCTCTTGCAGTCCAGGAGCCTGTGGGAGATGTCGGACTGACAAAGGTAAATAACATTTATAGCCATATAAAGAATTATACAGAAATGTTTGTATCACCTTTAATAGAAATAACCAAATATTTATTACAATGGACCTAATAGTGATATATTGAAAGATAAGAATATCTACCAGAGCCATGGACGATTTGGCTCTGGATGGAGCAAAGGCCTACAATCCAAAGGGTCCCAGGTTCAATTCCAGCTAAGGCACATACCTTGGTTGAAGACTCCTTCCCAGTCGGTGCCTTGGTAACCGCTGATGCAGGAGGTAACCAATCAATGTGTTTCCTTAATATCAATGTTTCTGTCTTACAGCCCTCTCTCTCTTACACTCTCCAAAAAAACAAACAAAAAACTAGGAAAATATCCTTGGGTCAGGATTAACAACAACAACAAAAAGACTAACTACCAAAAAAAAAAAAAAAAAAAGATGAGTTACTAATGTATCTTTAATAAATGTCCAAGAATTTATGAAATATAAATTAAAGCGGAAAAATTTTTAGAAAAAGCAAAGTTCTCTCTTAAAATGGAATGTAAAATCATGGTTATCAAGAAAGCCGTGAAGAACAAGGACAGATTAAATGAGGTCATTAAGCAACTTCACAGTCATAGATATGCTAAGTATTATGAGTATAATGATGGTTTCATTTTCTTGCACATGTCAAGATTTATGAAACACTACAATTAACACATGTAATTTACTCATTACAGCTGTTAAAAATAGTTCAAGAAAAAAGAAATGAAAAAAAAAAGATAAAAGAAATGTTACTTACTTTGGAACAACAGCTTTTTTAACTCTATATTCAATCCACATTCTCATGCACTGTGGGTGAGTCTCATCTCAGAGAAAGAAAATGTAACAAACAATGAAGAACTTTCACCCAAACCCACTGGAATGCTGACTGGGTCACAAAATCCATATCTCCGCCCTAAAGACACCCTTTGTTTTCTTCTTAGTTTTGCTGCCAGAGCACCAATGGCTCTAATGGGAACATCTGAGAAGATATATGAAGCCACAAAACTTCTTCATTATAATGAGTGACAATGACTGCTGCACAGAAGATAAACAAACCCAGATGTCCCTCAGGTCTGTGTACACATGACTCCTGTAGTCTTTTCCTCAAAAAAAATGTCTGGGTACAAGTTTAGATGAAGACATTCCATCTAATGGGCTGCAGTCTGTTCCAACAGGAATTAGGTCAGTGTTTCTGCAGTGAAGGGGTCCCCTCACTGTGATTGTCCTCCAACCAGTACCTATCACCCATGGAATTGAAGGCATTAAAGCGCATGGCCCTCTGCTACACCTGGGGAAAAGAATCCCTTCAAATGTCTTACCATTCCTTGAAAACAGGAAAAAAATTAACACTGCTCCCAGATATACTTCAGGTTGTCATAGCTACCCCCTCTTAGGAGTGATCTCTGTGTCTCAATGCATCCATTTTCACATGAGGATGAGAGTCCACAGTATTTCCTGGGAAAATATGGGCTGCAATGTAAATTCGGCAAAAACTGCTGAGCTAATTTCTACACCATAGTCATCCCCCAAGGGCAAAAATGTTTCAGAGCCCATATAAGTTTTTCACTGAATCATGCTTGGAGAGCCCAGATCTCCATATAAACTAACCAACACAGTATATGGAACACCCAACATTAAAGAAGTCTTACGGAAAAGCCTTCATTATTTTGCAAGTAACAGCCGTGAGACTGGTAGTTTTTCCACCTGGCAAGACAGCTCTTTATGTTAAAATGTCCAACATACATACATATGGTTCCAACATGCAAACAAGCAAACAGAACAGATAAAATAGTTGCGGGTAGGATACACAATGTACGTGATTCAATATATGAGATAAATTTCAGACTAATGAGACTTCACATATTTTCTTATACAACTGTTATGTCCTAACTAAGAAACTACATTGTCAACACATCTGAGAAATATTTCACATTTGGACTCTTTTGTGAAAAGAAAATTTACAAATTAGGCTGAGAGATATCTCACATTAATTACACTCTTTACGACAATCTCCTGTGTGAACTCTCTGATGACAATGAAGGTGAGAGTTATTTGTAAAAGACTGTCCGCATTCACTGCATTTATAAGGATTTTCTCCTGTATGAACTCTCTGATGACGGTGAAGGTTGGTGCTACTGGTATAAAATTTCCCACAGTCACTGCATTTATAAGGCTTCTGTCTTGTATGACTTCTCTGATGACGGCAATGGACATCGCTTTTCTCCAGTGTGAAGTCTCTGATGATTTTGGAGAGCTCTGTTTTCACTGAAAGTTTTCCCACATTCACTACATTTATAAGGCTTTTCTCCTGTATGAACTCTCTGATGACGACAAAGTTTACTGTTACAGGTAAAAGATTTCCCACAGTCACTGCATTTATAAGGCTTTTCTCCTCTATGAACACTCTGATGATTTTGGAGAGCTTTGTTTTCAGTAAAAGTTTTCCGACAGTCACTGCATTTATAAGGCTTCTGTCCTGCATGATTTCTCTGATGACGGTGATGGTCAGAGCTCCTGGTAAAAGATTTCCCACATTCACTGCATTTATAAGGCCTTTCTCCTGTGTGAACTCTCTGATGAGTGTGAAGGTAAGACTTAGTGGTAAAAGATATCCCACATTCATTGCATTTATAAGGCTTTTCTCCTGTGTGAACCCTCTGATGAATGTGAAGGTAAGACTTACTGGTTAAAGATTTGCCACATTCACTGCATTTAAAAGGCTTTTCTCCAGTGTGAACTCTCTGATGAATTTGAAGAGTTCCGCTTTGGATGAAAGTCATCCCACATTCACTGCATTTATGAGGCTTTTCTCCTCTATGAATTCTCCGATGCTGACAAAGTGCACTTTTCCTGGTATAAGATTTCCCACATTCACTGCAGTGAAAAGGCCTTTCTCCAGTGTGCACTCTTTGATGATGACAAAGTTTAATGAAAGAGTTGTAAGCTTTCCCACATTCACCACATATATAAGGCTTTTCTTCAGTGTGAATGCTCTGATGAGAAAGAAGGTTACCGATCTGGGAAAAAGATTTCCCACATTCATTGCATTTATAAGGCTTTTCTCCTGTGTGAACCCTCTGATGACTGTGAAGGTGAGACAAAGTGATAAAAGATTTCCCACATTCACTGCAGTGATGAGGCCTTTCAGCAGAGTGCACTCTGTAATGATGATATTTGCGAGTATTGAAAGTTGAAAAAGACATTCCACATTCACTACATTTATAAGGCTTTTCTCCAGTGTGAATGCGCTGATGACAATGAAGGTTACTGCTACTAGTAAAAGATTTCCCACACTCATTGCACTCATAAGGCCTTTCTGCTGTGAGAACACTCTGATCATAATGGAGGGCAGGGCTATTGGTAACAGGATTTCCACATTCACTGCGCTCATAGGGCCTTTCTTCAGTGTGCAAAGCTTCATATTCACCTAGGCTGTTAATACTGCTAAAAGCTATCCCATATTCACTGTACTCATAATGCCTTTCTTCAGTGTGCAAAGCTTCATATTCACCTAGGCTGTTACTATTGCTAAAAGCTTTCCCATATTCACTGCACTGATAAGGCCTTTCTCCAGTGTAACCTTGCTGTAGAGGACAAAAGCTAGAAAATTCGGTAAAATATTTCCCACATTCAGAGCACACAAAACATCCACTTCCAACATTGACATCCTTTTCCTGAATAAACCTGTGGGTACAAGTAATGTCTTTCTTAGATTCTTTTCTGGCGTAATAATTTTCTGGCCTTTGAAATGTCATCCCATGTGTCGAAATAGCATTTGGATGGTCCCTGGTCTGAGTAGCCTTTAGGTGGAGCTGTCCTGATTCGGTAAGAACACCCTGCCCAACCTTCCCGCATGTGAACCAATTTTGGGACCCATTGAAATTGCAGCTGTTTGCAAGGGAGATCCTGTCCACACCTCTAATGAAAGTCTTCTCTGTCACATGCCATTGGTGAATATTTACACTGAAGTAAAACTGTTCTGCACATGCCCCACACCTCAACAGTATCTGTCCATGTTGTGTTCCCTGCAGCTCCATCAAGTGGAAAATCTTTCCCAAGACTAGTCCACAACTCTCACAGGGGTGACTCCGCTGGGAAGACAAAGGTAACTGGGGAATCCATGCCTGTGAAACTCTCACAAAAAAGTTCTGTTCAGTCACTGCCTCCTCATTCTCTGCTCCACAGCAGCAACCTGAACAAAAGGAAACACTGGTAAAGTACATGTTCACCCTATGAAATCAGAATGTCTGCACCACAAATGTTTCTCTGTCATGACTAGGCCTGATTCCATAGAAAGATTTTAAGGACCAGTGAGGTACACTCTGAGGAAACTGTTGTTATGCATATCGTGGCCCCAAAACTCATTTATGATTAAAAGCAAACCAAGTGAGGGACAGAAGCACAGGAAGGGACACAAAGAAGAGAGGAAGGCTCTACTTATTTTTCCTGCAAAAATGGCTTCCATTAGGACCTTACATTTTGGCCATGTGAGTCTATGTAGAATCATTTAAGACGGCTCAAAGCCATAAAAATGTATTGTATTTGACCACATGATATTCAACATCAATATAATAACAATTGTGCACTCCAAGGTACTGCAGGCATGGACCAATGTTAGAGGGCAGAAAAGAGAGACCTGTGAAAGAGGCACAGGTGCAATGTCAAGAGAGGTGAAGGTTATCCATGGGCTGGGAAGCCCAGTAGAAATGATCACTATGAAAATTGAGTGCTGATAGAACCAAGATGGCGCAATAGGTAAACACCAGAAATTGCTACCATGCACAACCACTTCAACAATACAACTAAAAGACAAAACAGACAATATCCAGAACCACAGGAAGATTGGCTGAGTGGAAATTCTACAACTAGAAGGAAAGAGAAAAGCATACTGAGACTCAGAGGAGGTGCGGAAGTAGAGTGCATAGGTATGGAAGTGCACGCGGAAAAGGCTGGCAAATGAGCATGTGGCGTACTTGGAAAGGGCTGGCAACTGAGGACGTGGCCAAAGTGGAAAGGGCTGGCAAATGAGGTCACAGTTGTCTTTTTCAATCGGGAGGGAGTCTCAAGCTCCCTAATGCTCCGAACTCCAGCTCCGGGTGAGTCTCTGGGGACCCAGGCTCATTCCGGGAGAAACTGGACCGTCTGGCATCGGTCAGATCTCGAGGGTGGCTTTCTCTCAGCGGTACTTGCAGAGATTACCGGGACACTGAGTCACTGGGCCTCTTAGGGTAGGAATGAGGAGCAGCCATAGTTGTTTGCTCTGCCCCGTTGATCCCCTGATACCCCGCCCCACCCAACCTGGGCACAGGAGCTTTTGCATATCAAAGGCCTGGCCCTTTGCAATTTGAAAATTATCTAACAAACTGCAGCTGAGTCAGAGAAACCCAGAAATTCCAAAAGAAGGCCCAAGGGCCCACAGCACCTTGCATTGCTTCACAGCTGGGCCTCTTCTGGGCACGTCCAAACCCCAAACAAAGAAGAGGAATCTGCAGATCTCTCTATAGCTCCTGCTGAATAGCCTCAGGCAGAGGCTAAATTAGCACCTCCTTAGAGATCCAAGAGTCAGTGTACCCAGTGGTCAGAGTGGGACAATCCAGATTACAACCCCTAAGATCCATAAGGGACACACTCAGTGGTCAGACTCAGTGAGCACCAAAGCCCCACCGAAGCAAGTCTTGCCCCAGAAGGGTGTCTCCAGCACAGAAGTTTTCCCACTGCAGACACAGCTGATTCTCACAACCAATTGGCTTGGAGGTCAATTCCTCCCAGTGATACCAACTACAACCAAGGCTGCTTAACTACAAGACTGTGCACAAAGCCCACAAAGGGGTGCACCAAGAGCAATTGGGGAGGCTGAGCCACTGGGCCCTATAGTACACCTAACACAGAAAGCCACTCTATTAACACAAGGAAGCATAAACAATGTGGAGCCAAGAAAAAGGTAACATATGAAAGAAATAGAGGAAAGCAAACTACTGGATATAGAGTTCAAAACCACACTTTTAAAGGTTTTTCAAGAATTTTCTAGAAACCGCCGATAAATTTAGTGAGACCCTCAAGAAATCTAGTGAGAGCGCTGATAGATTTAGTGAGACCCTCAAGAAATCTAGTGAGACCCTCGAGGTTATGAAAAAGGACGAACTAGAAATTAAGCATACACTGACAAAAATAAAGGATATTATGAAGACTTCCAACAGCAGACTAGAGGATCGCAAGAATAAAGTCAAAGATTTGAAATACGAAGAAGCAAAATCACCCAACCGGAAATACAAAAAGAAAAAGAATGCAAAAATATGAGATAGTGTAAGAAGCTCTGAGACAACTTCAAATGTACA